AAGTTGCCAGTTTTAAGTTGCCAGTTTTATTAAATGTATGAGCTCTACCCAAGCTGATTTTTTAAAAATAAAATTAGGTTTTAACGTAGAATAAGTGTCCTTACCTGGGAAAATGAAGATGACTTGTCAACGTTTCGCTTAAAGACTTAGCGGAGATAGTTACATTTTTTTGGAAGAAGCAAGGTTAGAGCAGTTCAATGGATAGGTATGCTCCATCTGAATTGTATTGCACGTCTGCAATAGGTGAAATTAGTTGAAAGAAGAAACAAATTTCAGACTCTTCAAATACTTATTTAAATCAATTGTGAAATGATGGATCGTTCTAAGATGTACTTTCCTTATTGTTTTCTTGTTGCTATCAGCTAAAGATCTTATTCGCACCACAATTGGTCAGACAAGACTGCTCATAGCAGAAAGGTTTAAACAGTTTGAAGGGCTGGTGGATAACTGTGAATTTAAACGGGGTGAAAAAGAAACGACGTGTACAGACTTGGATGGATTTTGGGACATGGTTAATTTTCAGGTATGTACTTGCATGTTAACCTACTAGAATAAAGCTGATGGGGTTATTTATGAGCAATGGATTGAAACTATTCTTTAGTTTTTTGAATATTCAGATTCTGGGTTTTTTTAAAGTAAAAAAATGCAGGTCTTTGTTAAACACTTTCTGATGGTGAATAGTATCAGCTGGTATATTACGATTTATAATTCATGGACCTGTTCGTCTGTTGTGTCTTGTTGTGGCCTGTCTATATTGTTTTTCTCTGGAATAAAGGCATGCAGCCAAGTCTTATTCTGGTTAGGAGTGAGGATACAATCACAATGTCTACCTGGACCAAAAGCTAGGAGCTTTTGGAAAATTCCTGGAGCTCACCTGAAAAGTAGGGGTTCTGTGCGTCAGTCTGAGAATAATGCAGAAACGACAATAACCTTATTTAGGTGTGAGCTTAGGTGGTAGAAAACCTTCATCTCTATTTCTCTTTTGATGCTTCCATTGTTTTCAGAATGAAATATAATATTCTAAAAGATCAAAATAGCTCTCAACAGTATTTGTAAATCAGCATTCAGCAAAGGAATTTGTACCTAGTTAAATCAAATGCAAAGATGGATTTATTGTTAAGGTCCTAGTCGTAGGTCTTTAATTCCCTCCAGAAAGCGTAAGGGTTTGACCTGCTTATACATCAGAGATATTTAAGGGGTGCTTTGCTAGAACCTGTAACTTGAATAACAGGGTTTACCTATGCTTACTATGTATCTGGGAGCAGCTCAAGTTTCTCCTGAGCATCCCCACCTTTTCCCTTTGATAAACTTGGAGTAACAGAATTGCTAACTCTGTCCCTTTCTGCATTTGTTTTTTGTTTGTGTCCTCTGAGTTTCAGGGAGGATATAAAGGACTTGTCACTTCAGTGACTGGTCTGCTCTACATAAGCCTTGTGTGGCCTTACTAGCAAACGAGCCAAGTGTCTCCGTTTCAAAGGCTAAGGAGAATAAGGCTGTTGCATTATCAGTCAGGGAGGAGGTAATGCTGCAGAGCTAGTTTGTCTCTAGTTACAGGATGTCACAAACGAGCACAAACTGCATCAGGAAGCTGTTCAGGCCAGCAGTTTAAAAGAGCAAACAAGCTTGCATGATGGTTTCAATGATTATGCAATGTGTTCTTTTGCATTCCTTAAATGGGACCATTGTCGAAGTACTTAAGTTCAGCATGAGAACAGGTTGTAAACCCACTCCTTCATTTAAGATGTTAGATCTTGCTGAACAATTCTATACTTTCC